GACAGCGCCCAGGTCCAGAGTTCAAATCCCATGACCGACCAAAAAAAAAAAGAAGAAGAAGAAGAATAGGAAGAAAAAGGGGTGTCACCCAGTGAAAAGGGTTTCTGCTTCCACCCTATTTCTGGCTTCTTCCGGCTTTATACCTCACCCCAGGGACGCTTAGAAAAGCTGCTGTTCCTGTCTCCCTGGTTAGGCCAGGAGCTTCTGGGAGCTTTGTGGCCACGAACTGTTGGCTTGGGCCTGAGTCACTGGAACTGTCTCTAGCTTGGCTTCATTTCCTAGCAGTCACTGGGGGCTGTGGAGGGTGTTGATGAGGTGTGGGGTATGGAGAAGATGGGAATCCCTGAGAACAGAGAATGCTTGGTTCTGGGAGAAAGCTCTTACTCTAGACTCTTATTTACAAGAAGGTTTAGAGATGCCCTCACAGATCAGAAGACAGTCCTCCCCTTTGATGAACCAACCAGGTAAAAATGACCCTTTTTGCTGGGTACAAGTGGCTCACATCTGTAGTCCTAGCTACTCAGGAGGCTGAGTGCTCAGCAGGAGCAGGCTTCAAAGCCAGCCTAGGCAGGAAAGTCTGAGAGATTCTTATTTCCAATCAGTCACCCAAAAAATAGCTGGAAGTAGAACTGTGACTCAAGTGATAGAGCACCAGCTTTAACCAAAAAAAGCTCAAGGACAGTACTCAGGCCCTTGAGTTCAAGCCCCAAGACTGGCACCAGTCTTTTGAGCTGATACAGCCAGGGTAAAGTTTTGACTATGATGCTGGATTTCAGCTTCCCTTTGTCCTCTGTGCTAGTGCCCTCTTGCAGGGCATAACAATATGACATGTTCTTACTCTTATCCAGACTGAAGGATCCAAGCTGAGAAATCCATATCTCTGAGCAGAAATGAGAATCCATAGCCCTTAGCTTTGGTATGTCTAGCATACTCTGTAGGCATGTACAGGAGAGTCATACAATCCTGGGATAGCCTGGGCAAGTGACATAGCAGGTGACCAGGTACTCATGAATACCTGAGGTTGTGCTTCATTCTCTGTGCCAGGAACCCAGATGGACAGTTTATTTATTTATTTTGTCAGTCTTTGGATTTGAACTCAGGGCCTCTGTGCTGCCTCTGAGCTCTGTTGCTCAAGACTGCTATGCTACCACTTTGAGCCACAGGGCCACTTCTGGTTTTCTGATGGTTAATTGGAGATAGGTATCTCACAGACTTTCCTGCCCAGGCTGGCTTTGAATTGTGATCCTCAGATCTCAGCCTCCTGAGTAGCTAGGATGACAGTTGTGAGTCACTAGTGCCTGGCAATGGACAACCAACCTTCCTTCCTTCCTTCCTTCCTTCCTTCCTTCCTTCCTTCCTTCCCCCGCCCCCTCTCTCTTTCTTTCTTGTCATGGGGCTTGAAATCTGGGCCTGGGCTCTGTCCCTGAGTTCTTCAGCTCAAGGTGAGTACTCTACCATTTGAGCCACAGTACCACTTCTGGTTTTCTGGTGGTTAATTGGAGATAAGAGTCTCATGGACTTTCCTGCTCGGGCTGGCTTTGAACTGAGGCCCTCAGAGTCTCCATAATAGCTAGGATTATCAGCGTGAGCCACCAGTGTCAGGCACAATTTCTTTTCTTTTTTTTTTTTTTTTTGGGTCCGGTCATAGGGCCTTTTTTTGTTTTTTTTTTGGGTCCGGTCGTGGGCCTAAACTCTGCGCCTGGGCGCTGTCCCTCAGCTCTTCAGCTCAAGGCTAGCACTCTACCACTTGAGCCACAGCACCACTTCTGGATTTTTTCTCTGCTTATGTGGTGCTGAGAAATCGAATCCAGGGCCTCATGCATGCAAGGCAAGCACTATACCACTGAGCCACCTTCCCAGCCCTTATAGGGTCTTAACTCTGGGCCTGGGTACTGTCCCTCAGCAACACTTCCGGCTTTTTTCTTTTTGCTTATATGGTGCTGAGGAATCGAACCCAGGGCCTCTGGCATGCAAGGCAAGCGCTCTACCACTGAGCCACCTTCCCAGCCCTCAGGCACAATTTCTTAACTCTATCATTGCTATAGCTAGTTGTGGAAAACACAGGTATCCTTGGATATAAATGGGGTTTCTTAGTCAAGTGTGGTGGTTCAAGCCAATAATTGTAACTACTTGGGAGGCATAGATGGGAAATCATAGTTTGAGGCCAGCTTGGACAAAAGAATTTCTCTGGATGCCATCTTGACCAGTGGCTGGACACTGTGGCATATGTCTGTCATCCCAAGATATGAGAGAAGTAAAATGACTGAGTGTCTGTCACCTGTAATCTCAGCAATGCAAGGAATCACAAACAAGAGGATAACAGTCCAGGCTGGCTCAGGTATAAAAGTGAGACCTGACATGGTGTGAGGATCATGGTTTAAAGCCAGCCCGGGCAGGAAAGTTTGTGAGACTCTTATCTTCAATAAACCATTCAGAAAATTGGGAGTGGCTCAAGTGGTAGAGCGCTAGCCTTGAGCTGAAGAGCTGAAGGACAGCACCCAGGCCCAGAGTTCAAACCCCATGATCACCACCACCACCACCAACAAAAAAAGAATATAAAAGTGACCTGCTGGACATTGGTGGCTCATGCCTATAATCCTAGCTATTCAGGAGGCTGAGATCTGAGGATCTTGGTTCAAAGCCAGCTCATGAGACTCTTATCTCCAATTAACCACTAGAAAGCTAGAAGTGGTTCTATGGTTCAAAGTGATAGAGCACTAGCTTTGAATGAAAAAGCTCAGGGACACTGCCCAGGCCCTGGGTTCAAGCCCCATGACTAACCAAAGGAAAAAAAAGTGAGACCCTATCTCAAAAATAACCAAAAAAAAAACCATAACAGGCTGATAGAGTGGCTCAAATGGTACAGTGCCTGCTTAGCAGCAGTACTACCAAAAGATGGGATGTCCCTTTTTTTTTTAATTTTTAAAAAATTTTTGTCAGTCCTGGGGTCTAACTCTGGGCCTAGGCACTGTCCCTCAGCTCTTCAGCTCAAGGCTAGCGCTCTAACACTTGAGCCATGGCACCACTTCCGGTTTTTTCTGCTTATGTGATGCTAAGGAACCGAACCCAGGGCCTTGTGCATGCAAGGCAAGCACTCTACCACTGAGCCACCTTCCCAGCAGGGAAGGTGGGATTTCTAGGTCATTGGACAGTAGGCGTTGAACTAAGGAAAGACACTGTCCTTTTCTGTGCCCAGGCTGGAGCTGTGCACCTTTACCCTGGCAGTTGCCCTGGGTGCTGTCCTGCTCCTGCCCTTCTCCATCATCAGCAACGAGGTGCTGCTCTCGCTCCCACGGAACTACTACATCCAGTGGCTCAATGGCTCCCTCATTCATGGTTTGTGGATCTAGGCTATAGCTTGGGCTTGGGAAGGGGGTACAGGTAGACTGGAAGACTTAGGCAGACTTAACCAGTCATGTGTCATACTCTCCCCATCACATGTACAGTCCCCTGTGGGCTGGCCATTTACTGACTACCTCTGCTTTTCTTTTTTTGCTTCAGGCCTCTGGAACCTTGTTTTTCTCTTCTCCAATATCTCCCTCATCTTCCTCATGCCCTTTGCATACTTCTTCACAGAGTCTGAGGGCTTTGCTGGCTCCAGAAAGGTGAGTAGAGGATACATAAGAAACCCAGGAAAATGCAGAACTCTACTGGATCAAAAGAAGAGAGGTTGATGAATAGCTGGTTCTCAGAGGATGAGTGAAAATTACAGGAACAAGTCAGGAGCCAATGGCTCACCCCTGTAATCCTTGCTACTCAGGAGGCTAAGATCTGAGGATTGTGATTCAAAGCCATCCCTAGCAGGAACATCCATGAAAATCTTACTTCCAATTAACCAGCAATTCATTGGTGCCTGCCCAGCTACCATTTCTGAGGTCTCTTTCCTGCTCCTCTCTGCCCTGATATTGACCCTCTCTTCCTATTCACCTTCTCTTCCTCCTGTAGGGTGTCCTGGGCCGGGTCTATGAGACGGTGGTGATGTTGATGCTCCTTACTCTGCTGGTGTTAGGCATGGTGTGGGTGGCATCAGCCATTGTGGACAACAACAAGGCCAGCAGAGAATCACTCTATGGTGAGCGGCTGTGTTGGTTAGCTTTTCATCACTGTGACACAATACCTGAGAAGAATAACTTTAAAGGAGGAAAGATTTATCTTTTGATTATGGTCCATGGGTCACTTGGCCGTAGAGCAGAGATGCTTACCTCATGGTGAATAGACAGACAGAGATAGAGAAAGAGACAGAATGAGAATGAGTGATAGTGAGCAAGTAAAAAGGGGTAAGTAATAAGATAGACCCTTCAGGGCTGGTTACTGGTAGCTTATGCCTATAATTCTAGCTACTTAAGGAGGCTGAAATCTGAAAATCATGGTTCGAAGCTAGGCTAGGATGGAAAGTTATAAGACTCTTATCTCCAGTTAAACACCAAAAAAGCTAGAAACAGAGTTATGGCTCAAGTGATAGAGGAACCAACCTTGAGCAAAAGAGCTCAGGGAGGGGCTGGGAAAATGGCTCAGTGGTAGAGCGCTTGCCTTGCATGCTTGAAGCCCTGGGTTCGATTCCTCAGCACCACATAAGCAAAAAGAAAAAAGCTGGAAGTGGAGCTGTGGCTCAAGTGGTAGAGTGCTAGCCTTGAGCTGAAGAGCCGAGGGATAGCGCCCAGGCCCAGAGTTCAGGCCCCGGGACTGGACCCAAAAAAAATAAATTAAAAAAAAAGCTCAGGGACAGTGCCCAGGCTCCAAGTTTAAGTCCCAGGAACAGTGTGCACACATAGACACATACAAAAATAGGCTCTTCAAAGGCATATACTTAGTGACCTACTTCCAAGTTTCTACCACCTTCTAATGATGCTATGGAGGTATGCATACACCAACAGATTAATCCATTAATTTGGTCAGAGAGAGCTCCCAAAAGCTCCATCTCTTTTATTAAGGAACAAGCCTTCAACATGTTAATATGTGTGTGGGAGGGGATATTTCATATCTAAACTATAACAGAGGCCTTCCTTCATCCTTCTTTCAAGACTGGCCCTTCAGCTGGCTAATTTCCACATGCCTTCGTTCAATGTATTCCTCTCGAGTGAAAACAGTTGACATAGCCATCCTTAGAACTGAAGTGTCAAACTAACGTACTTCTAACCACATCTAGCCAACAGAAATGTTCCCTTGGGGCCCATACAATGATTTTAGAAAAATGGAATGGATCAGTTGCTAACATTCTGTTTTGTTTTTGTACCAATCCTGGGGCTCGAACTCAGGGCCTGGACATTGTCTCTGAGCTTTTGTGCTCAAGGCTAGCACTGTAACACTTGAGCCACAGCTCTATTTCTAGCTTTAAGGTGACTGATTGGAGATAAGAATCTCATGGACTTTCCTGCCTGGGCTGGCTTTGAACCGTCATCCTCAGATCTCAGCCTTCTGAGTAGCTAAGATTACAGGTGTGAGCCACTGGTGCCCAGCTCTGCATAGGCTTTTTATTGTGTCAAGTTCCCATAAACATGAGACAAGCTGACATGACTGCTTTTGCTCTTAGACTTCTGGGAGTACTACCTCCCATATCTCTACTCCTGCATCTCCTTCCTTGGGGTTCTGCTACTCCTGGGTGAGTGTACAGGGACCGAGAGGGAATGGTGGGATCCAGGGATTCAATAATCCAGGGAGTGTAATGGGATGGAGTAAGGGGTAAAAAAGAAGTTCTGGCAAGTGTCTCCTCTTCTTCCTACAGTGTGCACTCCACTAGGTCTGGCTCGCATGTTCTCTGTCACTGGGAAGCTGCTGGTCAAGCCCCGGGTATGTAGTGCTTCTTGCCTCCTGATCATGCTGTGCAGGTGAGGTTCCTGCAAAGCTGAATCAAAACCATGAAATGATCTACCTGTAGTTGTGTAGTATACAACTTGCAAAGGGCCACAGCTCTTTTTTTTTTTTGGTGGTGCTGAGCGTAGGGTCTAAACTCAGGGTTTGCTGTCCACTTGAGTCATAGCTCCATTTCTGGCTTTTTGGTTATTATCTGGAGATAAGAATCTCATAGACTTTTCTTCCCCGGACATGCTTTGAACTGCGATCCTCAGATCTCAGTCTCCTGAGTAGTTAGGATTACAGGCATGAACCACCAATGCCTAGCTGGCCACAGCTTTTGTTGGCTTCTGGATCCTTGCCCCTACCATCTAGTGCTTGTCACCAGATACATCAGGCAGAACACAAGGCAACTGGGAGGGGCTGGGGCAAAGCTGCTAGCCATAGGGTGGTAAATAAGTGTTAGAGGAAGGACTAAAACTTTAGAACCCTGAGATAAACAGGATTTTCCTGGAGCCCTGGGGATCACAGAGCCTCTGACAGTCGTTCCCTTTGTCCTTGCCTCCAGCTGTTAGAAGACCTGGAAGAGCAGCTGAACTGCTCTGCCTTTGAGGAGGCAGCTTTGACCCGCAGGATCTGTAGTAAGTTGTTTTCTCCCTACTAGACTGATGGACCTAGCCTGGGAAGTGACTGCAGGACTAAAGGGCAAAGCTATTTTCTCTGCCCTCAGATCCCACCTCTTGCTGGCTGCCTTTAGACATGGAGCTGCTGCACAGACAGGTCCTGGCTCTTCAGACACAGAGGGTCCTGCTTGGTATGTATGTTGGTAGGATTTGGAATACCTGGGTTTCCCCAAGGAGAGTAACCCCTTGCTCCAGGTATTTACTAACAGCCTCCTGTCCCTGCACAGAAAAGCGGAGGAAGGCTTCAGCTTGGCAGCGGAATCTGGGCTACCCCCTGGCCATGCTGTGCTTGCTGGTGCTGACGGTAGGTATACTATCATTGTTGGGGATCCAAAGGGGGTCCTTGAGAACTTCAGACCTCCTCAGGATAGAGTGATGTGGGGATCTGGTTATCATCAGTAATAGTTGCCAGCCAGGTATGGTGACACGTGTTTATAATCCCAGCTACTTTGAAGATGAAAGCAGGAGGCAAAGTTAGCAGGTCTTGTCTCAAAAACAAAATTATCAGCTAAAAGGGATGGAGGTATGGCACAAGTGGTAGATTGTTTGTCTAGCATTCAAAAGAACCTGAGCTCAATTCCTGAGGTCAGTTTCTTGATGTCAAAAAAAAAAAAAAAATGCCTGCATTGTGTTGTATCCTATGCTGAGCACATGAATTCCAATTTGCAGGTGAAGAAATGGAGGAGCAACTTGTCCAAGGTCAAACAACCTTTTAGTGTTTATTCTAGTTTGACCTGGAATAAGAATAAGGGTTGAGGGCTGGGAAGTTGGCTCAGTGGTAGAGCGCTTGCCTTGCATGCCAGAGGCCCTGGGTTCGATTCCTCAGCACCACATAAGCAAAAAGAAA